ACAATGTTGATTTGTTTTTTTGATGTGAATGGCATTGTCCACAAAGAGTTCGTTCTGCCAGGACAAACAGTGAACCAACATTTTTACCTGGATGTGTTACGAAGATTACGAGAGAGTGTGCGACGAAAACGGTCCGAAATGTGGAGAAATGGGAACTGGTTGCTTCACCACGACAATGCTCCAGCCCACACAGCTTTGACGGTCCGACAGTTTTTGACAAGCAACAACATGGTGATTGTGCCTCATCCACCTTACTCACCCGACCTGGCTCCGTCGGACTTTTTTTTGTTTCCACGGATGAAGAGAAGTCTGAAAGGAAAGCGATTCCGTGATGTGGATGAAGTCAAAGAAAACACGCTAAAGGCTTTGAACAGTATCCAGGCTCAAGAATTCCAGCACTGTTTTGAGCAGTGGCAAAAGCATTGGGACAAGTGCATTAATGCACATGGACAATAATTTGAAGGGGACTAATATACAGTTCAATAAAAATGCAAAAATAAAAAATAACAAAAATAAATTCCGGTTATTTTTGGGTCCCCCCTCGTATGTGTGGTATGTGACTATAGATAGTGTATGGATTGGATATTGGATTTATTGAATACTTGTATACACCGCTTGGAACTACACTTTTCAGATCACTGACACACAGACTAGTGTCCTCACTCTGTTAGAGTCTCCACTAGCCGTTTCCTGGCAATGGCTTCTACTGAGGGAGACTATTGACCTTCCTGCTCTCAGAACCTCTTGTCAATTATTAGTGTGTGATCCAGTGCCATCTCTAAATTATGTCTTATGTCTGAGGAGTTATGCAGTAGACATTTGAAGATAAAGAAGTCTTGTAGATCTGGAGTTTTGTTGATATCTGTTGGCCAATAAGTTGGTTTGCCCATGGACAGTATTTCTAGTTGCTTTTCTTGTATGGTTTGGTACAGTTCACGACCTTTAGGACTCAGTAAGTGGGAACCCCAGTATTGATGTTTTACATTGAAATCACCTCCAACCAGAAATGTGTATCCTAGTGAGTTAATGAAGGCACTGTATTGTGTGGCGTGGGGTGGCAGTATATGGCTGAGATGGTCAAATTTCCAACCCAGTCTGCAATGCTTATATTTATTGCCTGAATGTGGTCCATTTCATATTTGACAAGTCGTGATGTTTTATGTCTTTTCTTATGATTATGATGGGTTGTCCCATCCAGATAGTTGGTACCGTGTGTGATGTAGGTTGGGATATTTACATAGCTTTGTTCATAAAATGGGTTTCAGACACCAAGAGGATGTCTATTTTCTGGGTGTTGAGAAATACTTCTACTGCTTTTATGCGTTGGGTCGGCCTGTGTGCACTCCACGCCGCTGTGTTGTATACATGAATTATTTTACTAATTTGTTAAGTACAGTGGTGAGGAGATTCATGAGCATGCCCACTTGTTCAGACCAGATTGTTTTAAAACTTGTGAAGGACTCTTGCATTATTTTGACTAGTGTGTGTTGTTTGTGTGATTGTTGGCCTTTTGATACTATTTCTGGTTGCTTGGGTGTGTGTCATTTTCGGCCATCCTTCAGTTTCCTGCGGTGCTGGAGGGCTTGCGTTCTTTGTCCCAGTGTATTTGTAATATGAATACTTGCTGTTGTTCAGGGTGAAGGAAATGTTTTGCGTATGACTTTTTGGTAGACTTTGCAGCCTCTGTAGCTAGCCGGATGCAATTCCCACAATGTAGGCATGTTGCTGGTTGTGACTTTTTTTAGTGCTAGTGAGGTGGGACTAAGTCCCTTGTACTGCGGCCACTTCTGGCCTATTGTACCAGCCCCAGATGATAGGTGAGAGTGACTGTGGAGCAATTGATGGAATGAAGATTGGCAGGGGAAACCGAAGTACTCGAAGAAAACCTGCCCCAGTGCCACTTTGTCCACCACAAATCCCACTTGAGCTGTGGCGTGGGCCTCTGGTTGTGACTTTAGTAGAGTGCATTGTTCAGTGCTCTGTAATTTGCCACATTTCATGCATCTTGGTCTGTGTGCACAGTACCCCTGGTGTATAAGTACACTTGGCATCACTTGCATTGTGGTATATTATTTTGCTTTTGGTGAGGTGGTTCAGTTTGGCATCTCATGTTTTGTCGATGTTCTGTGTGGTATATTTCACTGTTGTTGGCTGCTGGTTTGATATCTAAGAAGAAAAGTGAGACAAGCGATAGCAATCTTAGCCACACATGAAGATCCAGTGATAGCCTCAATGAAACTGAAAGCCACCATCAATAAGATTGACGAGTGAGAGCAGAAATGGAGAATTAAAATAAATCAAGGCAAATTCACACATATTACATTCACCCTGTGCAACCAAACCTGTCTGACAATGCAAATGAGCATTGTTGATCTACCCCAGAAAAATGAAGTGAAATACCTGGCCGTGGATCTCGATAGAAGACTGACATGGGCAAAGCACATCAAAACCAAAAGAAGACAGCTCAACCAAAAAGCGAAACAAATGCACTGGCTGAAGATCAACACTATAAATAGAAAGCAAACTGCTCCTATACAAAGCAGTACTCAAACCCATATGGACCTGTGGAATTCAGCTATGGTGGACAGCCTCCATTTCCAACATTGAAATCCTCCAGCGCTTTCAATTCAAGACTCTCCAATCCATTCTGAACCTACCTTGGTACATAAACAACCACAGGGTCCATGAAGATGTACAAATGAACACAGTGCTAAGTGAAATAAAAAAGTGGAATACCAAATACTTAAGAAAATTAGAAAACCACACAATTCACTAGCAGGGAACTTACTAGACAATAGTGAAATTACACATAAACGCTAAAGATACTCAATCTTAATTCTATCAGACAGACCTGAGTAAAACCTAAATACAAGAATTAAAATGATAACTAAGTTAACAAAAAGAAAGACAAGGATATGACTTATGCCACTGGGCATAACTCATTCACTAGCTAATGTTTATTGAACATATACATTCGTTGCAGATTCTGCAGATTATGTATAATAAATGTGTGTGAAAAAAAAAGATCCTCTTGTCACAGCCGCCTATGCAGAACTCTTTGTCAACTGACAACTCAACTGACTTTGTCCCAAACTGGTGGCCATTTCACACCAACCTCCTAGACTTCTCTCCACAGGCTGACTTTCAACTGACAGCTGACAACTGAACTCTCTCACTGCCCAACCAGCTACTTCATGTCACTTCACTCAACTGAACTGCTGACAACTGACTGCAGCTTGGCTGGTGCCCCTGTTATATAACCTGAGGCAGATCCAACAGCAAACACTGCCTACAACAATCCTTCTGTTGTCATGGTGGTTGCCTAGCAATAGACTGGATATCATTTCTACAGGAATGTGGCTATCCACTGTTGCTTAGAAACAGATGTTTCTTTATGCAACTATTGCGTAGCATCTGCTGCATTCATCCCATTTCGAGGTTTCTGCCCAGCAACAGGTGTGTCTGCCATAATATACTGTTACAGTTTCTTCTCATAAATTATATGAAGGAAGCACTTTATTTCCAAGGAAATGAAGTGGTGGTAGTCACAAAGGAACACAATTTTTAGCTGACTTTGCTGTGCTTTATGTTCCCTACTAACAGAGTCCAATTTGCCATGTTCTGTGCACTGAATATGATAACTCTTTTATAATATACTGTAACGTGTTTTGTCACTGAAGATGCCGTTCAGATTGTTAATTGGTTTATTTAACAACCTACAGGTCATAACTACAATTAATTATAACACTGTTGTGGGTTTACACAATCTACAAACCCTACACACAAATCTCTTCACACTGTCCTCAATAGTCTACACGTCTTCATAGTACAATACGGAGATATACCAGCGTCACTGTATTACACACGCCCAATTACTTCTCTTGTGAGCCAAGCGTCTGCTTCTCACACTATCACGTCTAATCACACGTTCCGGTATTCTTCTTTCCGCTACAACTGAACTCGGTGACTGTTCCAATTCAACTGTCTCTGGCGGCTGCTACACTTTAACTGTCTCCGGTGGCGGCTGTATTTCGACTGACTTCTTAGGCAGTGGAGTTCTCTTATAAACCCTCAGCCAGACAACGGAAAATGCCTAGCAACACTGTCGAGAGTTGTTTACTGCTGCATAGCAACCAGCATGCTTCGGCTCTACTCGGCACGACATGAAGAAACACAACAGGGGAGGGGATGTTTACCAAGCGCTGCATACTGGTGGAAGGAGTGGGCATATGTGACGTCACTCGCGAGACGCAGAGTTCACGTGAACCCCACTTCCCGTTGCGCCATCCACGTCACAATACATTGGACACCGTAATGTGACTATATCCAGAGAAACTGCCAGGAGATCCATGTACTCATATATTAATTTACAGTTGTGATGTTTGGTTTGTAGGTTCCCAGTTGTGTCTGTGCTTTCAACGGGAAATGAGATTCAAGAACCTGACAGACCTTTAGAAGCAGGCCGTATTCGTGACAGCAATAAAACAACTTTATTGTCACTAATCAAGGAGCATGGTTTTTCAGCATTGGACTTGGGCATAGCTAGAGATGAGTAAGTTACTTGAACATTCTGATTTTGTTTATGTTACGTAAATGTTGTCCGTTTGCACTGAATATGTGAATGAAAAAAATATTAAAAATAAGTTCTGGTAAGAACTGATTGGTACTTTCCTTTGACAGAACACAGATGGGAACCTCAACATCTCACAACCCTATGGGCCTCCACTGCCTGTTACAGGGATACCTTTACTTTACTTTTACTTTTTAGAACACAGATTGCATAGGAAACGAAAGAAATTGGGGGGGATACACAGAGAGGAAGGTGATCTCATAAACTTCCTTTAATTTTTTTCAAAATAAGGAAAGCAGATTAAAAGTAGTTGAGCACTCCTAATGTTTTTACAATCAAGTTCAGTCACAGTAGAGTCCATACAGGATTTATAGTAGACAAAATGACACTGGGGCAGGTTTTTCTTCCTTTTAATTTGGCTTCTCTGCCAGTCATTATTCTACCAGTGTTTCATACTCATCTCTGATTGCCTTCCTCAACCAAGGGTTCACATGCTGGAGAGAAACTGATAGCAGCTAAGTTTATAGAGAAATTCTTCGATTTTTATAGAACTTGGAAGTTCACTACAGCATTCCCAAGAGCTCACCAGTGGACTGTATCCTGAACTATTCAAATCAAATCCATGTCTTTATGCCCTACTTCTTTAACCTTTATTGGACGGGCCATTTAATTTCCGGTAGGGGCAGCTGGACGGAGTTTATTTAAATGCCCGCCCTTCTAGAGCAATGAAATTGTAAGCATGTTTCAAAAAATGGTGTGATTTCTACATTTTTTATGATAAACGAACGAAATGAACGCTCCTTTAATGTAGAAAGAATATAGAATCAGATATTCTAATTTACAGATTTTAATATCTGTAAAAAAATTTTACACTGATTCCCAAAATAAAATTTCCCGAAATTCATACATTTTCTGCACCATGCGTTCTAGCAGTGTAATACATTTTCTGCACCATGCGTTTTAGCAGTGTAAGTCCTTGTGGCGACTTCACATTCAATGGTATCTCTTGTTGTAGCTTATTTATC